AAGGTATGGCTAAGCGACTGCTAATTTAATAATTCTGCGCACAGGATGGCAAAACTGGGGCATGGTAAAGTGAGTCAAGGCATCGCTGAGGGCTTTGCTGTATTAACTACTCTGCCCACGGTATGGCAAAACTGGGGCAGGGTATAGTGAGGCAAGGTATGGCTCAGGGCGATGCTAATTTTTCTACTCTGCCCACCGGAGTGCAAAACTGGGGCACGGTATAGTGAGGCAAGGTATGGCTAAGGGACTGCTAATTTAATAATTCTGCCCACAGGGTGGCAAAACTGGGGCATGGTAAAGTGAGTCAAGGTATGGTAGAGGGCGTTGCCAATTTAACTACTCTGCCCACGGGATAACAAAACTGGGGCACGGTATCGTGAGGCAAGGTATCGCTGAGGGCGTAATTAATTATGTACTCTGTCCACGGGATGGCAAAACTGGGGCACGGTATAGTGAGGCAAGGTATCGCTGAGGGCTTTGCTGTATTACCTACTCTACCCACGGGATAGCAAAGCTGTGGCAGGGTATAGTGAGGCAAGGCATGGCTGAGGGCGTTGCTTATTTAACGAACATTTTCCCCATTTTCTACACCCATTTAAAAAGAGTCAAAAAATTTACGGCTGACTTTTTGGACTGGCCTGGCTCAGCTTTCTTTTTAAAAAACCAAAAAAAGCTCCTATTTTTTCATTGCATTTTTGATTATTAACTAAGCGGAAGAATTTTTAGAGTTCCAAAAACTTTTTAAATAGATGCAAACTAAGTAAAAAGGGTGTTAAATGCTAGACTAGAAAAAAAAATTCAAAAAAATTGACAGTTTTTTTCAGGTTAGCTAATCATTTTTTCTGTTTGATCACTAATCAAGGGCATAATCAGATAATTCATTGAAGAAAACCAGAGGTTATAAGATTTTGTAATGTATTTTCATGGTTTTCATTTCATCTTACAACCCTAGTCGATGGAGGAAGGTTATCTTTCAAGATCTTGCATAATACTTGCAAATGAGGTTTATCTCGCAAGATAGCCTTTAAAAAAAATTTCACATGTGTTTTTCTGAGCTCCAAAAAAAACATTAGGGAAATCGAATTTGAATGCGGCCACAAAAAACTGCGAGCTTAAATTCGGATGAAAAAAAGTTTTAACAGTTTTTCGAAAACTTCAATTAATTGTTCAATTTTCCGTTTTTGTAAGTGAATCGTTTGAGGCTGTTGCTATAATTTGTAAGTTTCGAACTAAGTTTCAGAAAAGAAATTTTTTTGTTTTTATAGAATTAATTCATCTAGTTTTTGAAATCAAGCGGTAACAAATAATAGTTTTTCTGTAAATTATGTCAAAAATTTGATCAATAAAGTTTATTAGCTCATACTTTGTTTGAATGCTGTTCACATAATTTGTTAAGCTCACTAGAGTTGAAATTAAAACAACAAATTGTCGTATCATGCGTAGAAACAATAATCAATTATAATTAACATTGCGAGGCCAAACTGTGTATTTTGTGCATTGTAAGCGGATTCCCCATCAAGGACGCTCCTTTTGTTCTTCTTTTTTTCTTTTTTTTTCCTTTGATCGTTCCGACAAAATTTTAACATGTTCAAAGACTTGTCTCTGGAATCCAGGAACATACAGACACAAAATTGTGCGCCTATCCAGTGTTCAGTTTGGCCTCGTAAGAGTTTGATGGATAATAAGTGATTGGATTTTAACATTCACTCTCAATAAGAATCAAAAGTAAGCGATTATTATCGATCTAAAATAGATTTTAAATTAAAGTTTACCGAAACCATAAATTCAATTTCATTCAATTTTAATCAATTATAATTGATTATAATCATTTATAATAAGTTATAATCATTTTTTTCTAAATTTTTTTGTAATTTTCAAACACAATGCAGTAGATTCAAACCTTAACGGTTGTTTACTGCTTAAAACCCTTTGCATCGGATAAAACAAAAATCCGTACATTTTTTAAGTTCTCGTTTTCACTCATGCATGCTCTATAAAACTTTATTGTGTAAACTTATCCGACAGCTTACAGTTTATTGTATTGTGTGATGCTAAAAATCGTGTAAGACACACAACTAATTTACAACAACTCTGCAACTCTGTTCGCTCCCCCGTTTGCAACTCCCTCACCCCCCCCCCCACGTTTAACCCCCCCCCCCCCCCACTTTTATACCAATCACGTTAAACCCCCCCCCCCCATCCACCCCACGTTTACATCCCTCGCTTACTCCTCGCTTACATCTCCCCGTTTACCAACACCACCCCCCCCCGCCCACCCATAAATTCCCCCGTGTTTACATGCGCTTTAACCTCCTCGTGTAGACCCCCCGTGTAGGTAGATCCAATCATCCGTGTAGACCCCCCCCCCCCCCACATTTATTAAAACCCTGCGTAGATCCAACCATCATAAAACTCCTCGTTAATAAAACTCCTCGTTTAGATTCAACCATCCGTGTAGACCTCCACCACGTTTAGTAAAACCCCCATTGCACCGCGCGTCAACCCCCTCCCACTTTCCACATTTACTGTGAGTAAATAGTCTGGAGTCTGAGGGGGTGTGTATATTATATTATTAGCCCCCGGACAGCTCAGTGCAGGGCCAACCGTGGGGAGGGAGATTTCATCCATTTTGCCGCAGCCGGTCCCCCCTTGAGGAGGCGGATGACACTGGGACCTCTCCAGCCGTGACCGAAGCAGGATTCGAAAGCTTGACCCTCATGTTAAGAGACATGCCCCCATGCAGTTTCAAGTGTTATTAATCGATTATATTACGATTTTAGTACCAGTCTTATTAAAATTGAGAAATAATCGATTTTAATCAATTAATAACCGATTATAATCTCTCTTTTTAAAATCAAAATTTAATTAATTATAATCCATTATAATCAATTATAATCAATTGTTCATTGGTCTATTTTTCAAAACAATTTTAATGAATTATAATTGAATAATTCGTTATTTTTATTCAAATTTCAAATTCATTAGTTTTGCACAAAAATTCGTTATAATGCTTTTTGCAAACGTGGTTCCTATGGAAAAGGCAAAAAATGTTTTTAAAGTTTTCCAATCAATTCAAATTTGGAACTTTTTTTCATTTCTTCCCCATTAGATTTGTTTTGTAATAAACATTTTAAGCTTTTTTAACCTCCAAAACATCAGCAAACTGATTTAGTTCCATGATTGATTCGGAAGATTTTATTTCTTCTACCGCGGGAACCTTTCCACTAATGTGGAAGGGTCTCTATGAAACTTTTGTTTCGTGATAAAACTTTGTGTTCAGATAAACCAAAGTGTTCAAGAGATCTCTCTTTCAGAGATTTTCTTATTGACACAAAAATAATAACCATAAGGTATAATTCGAACATAATTTTGAATTGACAAAATTTTGGCAAAATAAGAAATTATAATCGATTGTAATCGATTAAATTGATTTTAAGGGGTTTTTGTAAGAACTATAATCAATTATAATCGATTATACGAGATTATAATCTCTTGGAAAAAATCACGATTGTAATCATTTATAAATCCTTTAAACACATAATTTTGGTAATTATAATCAATTATAATTGTCAAAAATTCATCATAATAATCCGTTATAATCGATATCTTAGGCCTAAACTTGGACCACGGCTGCTCGGGGGGGGGGGTGCGTAAGCGCGGAGGGGGTAGAACAGTAATAGTAGGTGGTTGAGGTGCATAGTTAAAGGTAGTGGACACGGGAACGGATAGGGAAAGTTTAGGGTTAATTGCGCATTTTATATAAATTTATTAGATTTAAATTTCGAGTAGACCATGATTATAGCAGATGTTGCTGAAAATTCAGCAAGAAAAATAGAGACTATAGTTCATTATGATTAAATGTAATGATTTTTAATTTAATTACGTTTTAAATACTGGATTTAAGTGGAGAATAAATGATTATAATGACAATTTAACCAAGTTCGTGGTCGAAATACACAAAACTTGATTATATAGACAAAAATTTAGACAACATTTTTCCATTGTAAACCACTTTTTGCATACAGCTACGGTGAGGCTATCACTTGTTTGAAAACTGAAATTTGTTGAAAACCTTTCAAACAATTTTTAGCAGACTTTTCTCAAGGCTGAGAAGTGTATTTAATTTTACGAGTTCCCAGTTCAAAACTGTAGTGTGAATGCGGTGGTGCAATTTACAATTGAGACGTAAAAGTTGTGTTGCCCAATCTTACATGTGGGGCACTCATTTTTAAATATCATAAGTCAACACTAGTAAGGATAGCTCCTGATGTCTGCGGTGCGTAACAAGAAAGAAGTTGTGCAGGCAGGAGAGAGGCCCTCACCACTAGAGTTCATGGAAAAGGATACTTATCGATTATATCGGCAAACAACTTGATCCATATAATCGATTTTCATGGCTGATCTAACCATGAATGTAAATTTTTTGGGGATTATAATCGATCATTTTCAACTTCAAAAATCCATTATAAACGCATTACAATCCATAATAATCCATATCATTCAAAAGGAATTTTTATAGCATTCAAAAGGTTTTGCTGTCCTGAGCTTAAATTTGAAATGTCATTTCACCTGAGATCATTTTTAGTAAGTTATGGGGTTAGAAGTTTGCCATTTTGACCAACTTGGGACAATTAACTCGCAATATATTTTGCGCTATTAACCCGTAAGCTATCATCCGTCTTAGAAATCGTTCCAAATTGGTTGAAGGAAAGCTTATTTGCCATAATTGATTTGTTACTAGGAGCGAACTTTATCACTTTGTACTTTATATGGGGTGTGTGGGGATGATTTTCGTAAAAAATCTCAAAAATCTCAAAAAAAAGCATTTTAATTTATTACATTTAGTTTTTTCATGTTACTAATGACCCGTGGACCATAAAAGGCAGTCGTAACATTCAGGGCTTCGCCCTGATACGAGCAGTCTTGTTGTGCTTGTTTCTGATAGTTGATTTCATATTCATACTTGCTGATTCAATGAGACAAAAATTGAACGTTCATTCCTTTCAAGTTCAAAAATTGAACTTTCGTAACTGTCAAGTTCAAAATTGAACGTTCATTCCTTTTGAAGTTCAAAAACGTTAGTTCCTTTAAATCAAACTTGAAAAAGATTTGTAATACATTTAGCATATATAATAGTTTTAAGGGGGAGCGCGCTCCACAAAATGCCCAAAAGCGGATATTTTTGCGTGTTTTTGACTGCGACGCAACACTTTTTGTAAGCAAAAATAGGTTTTATTGGTTTTTCTATTGAGCTCAGAAAATTAGTCGACCTAAACAAAATGACAAAACTTTCAAAACATCTATGAAAGTTCGCCTTCTGAAAGACATTCTTGCTCACGAGACTGCGTATTACCTACTTAGAAAAAATAAACACACACGCCTCTTAAATTAAAATCTCAGCAAAGTTTGTCAGATCAATGAATTTTATAACTAGTAGCAATATTTTGATCAGCCCTTGTTAACTCTAATAGCACGTCTCTAAATTCCACGGACTTCCCATACATCCTTCAGGAAACGCATTTCCACGAAGCTTTCTTCGCCACTTCGAACCCATTTGACCTCATTAAATGCTCATCGGATACAATATGCACTTTTCCAATTTTTCCAGGTTAGATTCATCCAAAACTTGAATGAAAACTCAGCATAACGCCGCTGGTGCCCAAACAAATTTCAGCTAATTTACGAAATTGAAAATTGAATAATAGTTTGAACAATGTTTTTAAGCTCATTTTCTATTTCCATAACTAAACCTAAATTTTCAACTCGACAATGAAAACCAGTTATACTCCCCTATTTTTAAGCAAAAAACATCAATTGCACTTGGGGGAAAAGACATTTCCACAAGCAGAAAGTCTAAATTGAATGAAAACGATTTTAGGGGGTAATATTTGCAAGATGGACGAGGGCGGACCCATTTACAAACTTAAATGTGGATCAAACACGCCCTTGTGTCTTTATGGGGTGGCCAACTTCTTCTCAAACAAACAGACAACTCCTGGCCATCAATGCAACGATGGCAGCTACTTTGCACGACTCACTTCAGACCGCAGACTGTGGATTTCAACCACCATCTTGCAGAACTTTAGCGATAACTGAATACCTTCAACAAAACAGCTGATTTTTTCTCATATTCGAAATTTGTATCGATCTGGAATTATTATCAAAAGTATTTGGCGATATGTAAGTTTGTTTCAGTCTAGCACTTGAATGATGTTCAAAAAAATTTAATCAAATTTAAAGTAAGGTGTGTCAAAAGAAAGTATCTTTGACAATTTTTTCAAATTTTTGAAGCTGTACATTACGAGGCCAAACTGTGCACTGGATAGGAGCACAATTTTGTGTCTGTAAGTTCCTGGATTCCAGAGACAAGTCTTTAAACATGTTACAATTTTGTAGGACGATCAAAGAGAAGGAAAGAACAAAAGAAGAACAAAGGGAGCGTCCTTGTAGTGGAATCCGCTTACAATGCACAAAATGCACAGTTTGGCCTCGTAAGGTAACTGTTTTTACCCAAAAGTCAACTTTCAGATGTTGTCGATAATAACACTTGAATAGATGATCATGAAATATATTCTACTTTGTTTGAGGAAAGAAAGCAATAAAATTTTTTTAAAACAAGACCCATATTGGTTAGGAAAGAACATGATTCAAGGATTTGATACAGACTCAATTATTTTGTTCGCCAGATTATATTCAATAGTAATGTTCAATTTCATAAATTAACGATAAAACAAAATATGGCATCAAAATTCAAAATAATTATTTTCATGAAAACAAAATTCTACTTTTGTGATAACCCCCAGTTTTTACTCATAATTAATATGTGAGAAAAAAAAATCAAAAAGTATTCGAATGCTCTCAAATGGAATTGCAATGTCAAGGTATTGGAACCAGTTCTAAACTAGCATTTATAGACCAATTATAATATGATGGAATATCACTATAAAACGTTTATAACTAACCAAACATATTCCGTCTCTAACATTTACACTTATTTGTGAGTGCTGAAACTACTTGTAGTTTCAGCACCAGAACAATTTGAATAAAACATAGATTACAGTTGTTCTCCTTCTGGCAACTAACTAGCATAAACAAGTATACACTAGATCTATTGAGACTATGAGAAATAAGAGTAGGATTAAGATTGGTTTTAGACTACGAAGTTGCACGAACCTATCCGGCCGAAAAAAGGATAGCGTGACGAGCAGACGGTGTACCTTATCTGAAATTATTCTTTGAATACAGTCAATAAAACATAACTCATCTGGTGCGACCTAAAGTCTCGAACAAGACCTTAACTAACTTAGATTTAGAAAAAATAGATTTTAGAATTAGACAATTGCAAAATTGCAGAAATGTTAGACAAAATAGATAGTTTAAAAAAAATGTCTCTAGAACCCAATAAATTCACGCCAAAATTTCAAACAATACCAAAATTATCAGGTATTGAAAGAAGACCAAGATCGTGGCGCGAAAGACAATCAGGAATCGGACCACACTGCTACATGATAGTACGATGGAAACCGGAACAAACCTTTGTATTTAAAAAACCTTATGCAGTAAATTTAAATTTTTATTTACTGAAATGAAATTTGAAGTAATCCTTCAACAAACATATTTGCGCTAAACCTACTATCTATATAATAACGACTGAAAAAAAGAACACAAATCGTTCCCCCCAAAATCTGCGGTAAAATAAAACTTTTTAATAAATAATTTATTAAATACTAAAAATACAAAAATTTTATAGCACAAAAATCATTGATAGTTTCATAAATTAACTGATTTTTCTAATCCCAGCTCCATCACCTAAAACAAAACAGCAATAATTCAAGAAACTAATCTCATCAAAACCTTAACTTCTAAGTTTTCTTCATCTCAAATTTTATAATAAAATTTATCAAGGCTTACCCTTGTTTTCAAAACTCCACTTTTCTTACATAAACAGAACCTCAAGGCTTTCATTGGATTTTCCAATCTAAATTAAACCTAAAATTAAATTATTTTATTATTGATCATCAAGGGTTTCCTTGGATCAAATAGAACAATTTTGTTCTCCCCTTCCCATAACTTCAAAAGTGTCTAACGACCTCAAACGTCGATTCACTAACCAACCCTTATCAGCGACCCAGGACTAACATAAATTTTGAAAAAACTAACCATTTAAATTAAGCTAAACAGTAAAGAACTTCGGGTACTCATCCTTCACTTGAGCCTTTCCTCTCAGATGTCTCAGGCTAAAACCCTTAACAAATTAGTCAGTCATAAAATAGTATCTAATGATCTACTTTTGTTCTAAAAATACCTGAACCTTTTATTTCTAAATCTGCAATTTTGATCACAAAATCACAATCCTTAGATAACATTAGGTAGGGAATCCATAGATTAAAACTTACTCACGAGAGAAATAAACCATTCTCGCGAATCGATATACTCTCTCGCCAAACCATCAACCTCGACAATATGCTCTAAGTTAGGATAACCACACAAAAACCGTAGGGACTAACAGTTTAGGAGATTAAAAACTCTAATTCTCAAATATTGCATCCATCATCCTAAACCTTATGTCAAGAGATAACCTAGATATCAAAAAAAATCAATCGTATTACATAACTGCTTAATTAAAAACCAAAGATACGACCTTGTAATCACACCACACACTGAAAAACACTAAGATATACTAGGTCAAAAAAACAAACACAAAAAAGAGGATCATAACAAAACAAAAACAAAACATAAAAAGATTTTCAAAACGAAGAAACGCAGTCTCTGAATCAGAAACAAACACAATACAGGAACTTCAAGATTTAAAAGACTCGATAAAAAAAATAACCCGATAGAAGACCAAATATATTTTTCCGACTCAGAAGCCACAATAACATCATCAATAGAGGGAAAACGCAAAAAAAAAGAATCAGATATCAACAAACCAATACGTCTATGTAATTGGAATCAACCAATAAGACATATTGATTGTTACACACTAACAGTTTCACAATATAAAACATGATCGAGTACAACAAAATTTTCGACGATAACTCCATACTCTCCATTTTCAGAAAACCACAAAATGATTCCCACGAGGACAAGTACAATTTTGTTACAAACTAATTGCAAATCTAAAAGGGAAATAGCCCATGTAAACAAGGTTTTCCTGAAGTAAAAACAAAACGGCAAATCCTTGACCACTGTCTCAAAGATATATGTAATATCACATCATATTATGGTATATTTTCAATCGAAATTGCATCATCAAAACCAAATCACATAAAACACCAAATACAAACAGACGATATAGATATAGAATTCTCAAAATTTTTTACAGACTATATAAAAAAAAATAAAACACCACAATTCACAAAAACCAAATTCATTATTCAATCAGCTATAGCTATCAATCCCTACTAGAATTAACAGGAACACAAGGTGACTCACCATTTCAATCATCCCGACATACAGCTGTAAGACAAGAAATATGTAAATTCTCAAAGTTTTTAAACACAACCCGTGAAAACCTCACTAGTAATGAAATATCACAAAATGTTAAACACGATCTGCAAAAGATACTAGCATGGTTTATAATTGATTATTTTATTCATAACATTAATCTTATATCACTAGTAAGAAAGAGTTTTCGACCACAAAATTCAGACGATGAAACTATATTGGCAGATGAAACAGATTTTGTTTGGGACCCTGAATGGTCACATCATTTATTTATTAATATACCAACTGATATATCGAGTCAAGCAATCACCACAATTTCCATCAAAAGAGATTCGGTTAGGATAATTCCACTTACTATCAATGCAACACTTTAAAACTAGAATTCAATATTCACTGACAGAACAAGAAACAAAAATTTGAATTCAACATTTATTAATCAAGAAAATTTAACGGAACAAGAAATCTTACACAACAAGATATTCGAACTCCATCACATTTAGCAAATGAAGAAATAGTTGAATCAATGGCAATAACAACACAACAAAGCATATCCCCTACTCGTCCTACTTTACTCCAAGAAAACAGAAACGCAGCATTTATACAAGCAATTAACCAATCCACAGAAAAACCTTCCGGTAATCCAAAAAATTGACAAAAGGACTATCAAACATTCAAACCAGTATTGATATCAAGACAAAAAAAAATAAGCAAAAGACGTCAAACAGAAATAACTTCTCAGATCATAACTATATATTTTTTGAAAAATCCAAAACAACAAAACCCCCAATATGAATAGTCAAAATCATTTACAATCACAAAATCAAAATGTACCACAACAAATTTTTCAATCAGTCTTTTTTAATGATCAGCCACGAGATACACTAGACCCTAGCGAAAATTATCCGTTTTTTCAACAAAATTAAAACATGACAAATAAACACCGTATTAGTAATCAATCACATAAGTCAGAAGATGAAAAAAACTATCATCAAATACAACAACAGTTTAAAACAAATTAGCAAAGCAATAACTGGAAAATTGATAAAACCATATCCTTTCAAATCATATACAAGAAACGAACAAACACGACAAACAAAACATAGCCCAACGTTATACGATAATAATTTTCAATCACAAAACCCAGTAAATACACAAAAATACCAATCAACTCAATTACCAACCAAAAATTACCAAGCAAAATGAAATCCCATCACCATATTATCTACAACAACGCGAAATAACAAAAACCCAACTTATAAATTTTTCTCAAATACCAAATGCCGCAGAATCGTTACAAATGACTATGAATCCAAATGTTATGAGTGGATCCTCTATACCTTCAAATAAGCCACTAATGGTGTTCACAGGAACAGATCCTGAAAACTCAGTAGAAGTTTTTTTAATTGCAGTCACAGCCATTTTGATTTTAAACATAGGACCTGAACCAGTAAGTACACCACTTCATCAAAATTGGATACATAGACGCACAGCTCTAATCGAAACCACCTTTGATGGCGCAGCCCAAAAATGGTTTTCAGTTTTACCCATAGATATCAAATCAGACTGGAAAAGACTCACAGAAAAATTTTCAAAAATGTTCGACTCTGAAAGAAGCAGAAAACACCAAAAAGTCTAATGCAATGAATTCCGTATAATACCAAATGAAACAATTAAACAACTTGCAGTAAGAATTTAAACATTAGTAAGAAAAGCATATTCCCTTAATACGCATGACTATATAAGACACGAAAAGGACAGACATTTTAATGATGACTCTAACACGACAATTACGGAAAATAGCGATAAAAAAGAGAGCATTACATCCATCTTCAATTCGAGACCCCGAAATAGACTTCACAAAGCTGGTAGATAAACTACAACAAGCCGAAATCACTATGAAACTTGAAGAAACAGAAAATTTAAAGTTACAATATGTAAACAACATCCAAACTACTACTCCACAAATAAATAAATTTCATGATTCCGACACAGAATTAGCTGAAAAAATCACTCAAGTA